AATATTTTCCAGTACCCTTCAATTTGGTGGACGCTGGCAAAGCATGCCTCGCTTCGTTGTCAAACTCGCTGATAACCGTGATGCAAAGGGTGAACACCCTCACTACAGCCATCGAAGATACGGTCAGCATACAGGATGAGACTGGGAATGTGTTTGTTGATATATGCCCGACCACCGACTTGACTTTGTACGTAAGCAACTGAGGTTGCGGTCTCCTATTAAACGCTGTGCTGTGCTACGTCAGCGTCAAAATGTTCCTATCGACGTCCATACGCGACATCAGGAAAGTTCTTGAGTGGCGACCACGAGCCGGAAGACGTAGCGTGGGCAGGCCTCCCACTAGGGGGACCGATGATCGAAATCCTTGGGGGAGGCCTTTTTCCAACAGTGGATGTCTTTCGGCTGAAAAAAAACGAACGAACGCGACATCAACGTCTGAAAGTGACCACAACAGTAACATTTCTCTAATAAGCATTATGACGCGGCCTACGGCGTTCATAGGAGACCACATCCCTACATTGCTCAGCTACAAACCTTCACTTCTATTGCTATTACCTCCATCTTTTATTTTAGGGATGACTACACACAAATATTCGAGCTTCTGGCGTTCAACCGACAGTATGAAGTGTTCATTCGGAAGTTGTTGTCGGACGTAGAGACGATGGTAGAGAACGGTTTGATGTATGTGGATAAAGCCAGGAGTGTTCTCGAGGAGTTGCACGCTGCTGTCAAATACAAGGCCGCTGTGCCGGTTGTGGCTGTGTTTGTAAGTTTTACAACGTTAAATCGAATCTTTAGTTCTAACATTCTTAATGCTCTGCCTACTAATTATTCTACTCGCACTTTCAAATTCTAAAGCTAATCAAAAGCATCGACAATGAATAGGCAGTACAATCTTACACTTAACATGCTTTATTCTTGACTTGTGCCACAGCATATTTAATATTGTGAGGTTACCAGCTCGTAAGGTGGATAGACAAAAGGGAACATTGTGCTTTTTCAGCCGCTATTTTCCAAACTGTGGCAAGTGTGGCGCGCGATGCAAAACGTCATGTTTTTGGTGTCAACTGTGAATCGGCTGATGTCCACCTTGGCCACCATCCAGGATCAGATGAAGATACCGTACGGTATTCTGGAGAGGATGCTGAAAGGGCGGCACGTATGTTGTATTTCACTATTTCGAATATTCCTGTCTCTCTCTCTCTCTCTCACTCATAAATACTCGCAATTCATTTCGTAGAGGCAAATCAAAATCGAAAGTTTACGTTTCTAGATCATAACGGATCAGGACAGAATGAACTCGAAAGTAAGCATGGAAGAACGACTGTCCCTCGGATCTCTCAAGAACTACGTAGCACACAACGACAGCTTCACATCCATGAAAGACAGGCACATACAGGTATAGGTATAATTATCATACTATCGTAGATTAATCTGGCATTATATTTATGGTTTATAAGTTAAGAAAGCCTAAAAGCACTGAAAAATGCTCCTATTTTCCTGGATCGATTAAAAAGAGAGGTTAGGACAGTCTAAAAGCACTGAAAAATGCCCCTATGTTCCTGGATAGGTTAAAAAAAAAGAAGGTAGGTACTCCAGTTGTTGCTCCAGCTAACCTTCCGACGGGACTACTCAACCTTCACTGGTTGGGTTTCTTTGATGGACAAACTTTTAAAAAGCACTTTTACTGGATATACAGGAGTTGCAGTGGTGGGATAGTCCCGTTTTTTGACGTCTTCCTTGCAAGCTTCAATGGCTAAGTATTAACAGAATGTCTTTATTCCTAGTTTTTAGGTTTCTGCGCTCTGTGCCTAAGCGTCGGAGCGCTAGTGCCCAGTAATATGAAAGTTGGACTGATTAAGTCAAAGGGCAACCGATATGGTTTCTGCAGCGTCAAGATGGCGGCTAGGTTCAGCAAGGATCCTGAAAGGTAATTCAATTAAAATACCCACCACAACAGTCAAAAAAACTTGACCGCCAAAAGCAAACGTTGTCCTGAGGACGACCACTCACTAGCTAGACCATTTGTTATGCTATCACATTACCTACTAACACATTACCCGGTCGAGGTAACTGCTGGAATGCGACTCTCCTTTGCACCTCCCCGCGTTCGCCCTTTCTGTACCAGAGCGTCGATGTGACGTCACGGCTGCCTGGTGCGCAGTTAACTCTATCAGGTAATCGGGTTGTAAAACCGTACCTTAATAGACGCGTAGGATACAAATACATACATTTTTTTCAGATACATCAACGAAGTCCTTGACTATGCAAGGAACAATCCCAGTGTGATCAATCTTTTGAATATAGTGGAAGAAGTGTACAAAGTTAAAGATATAGACACATTGGTTACCAAGTACGTGCCGAAGAGTAAGTGCTTATAAAATATTTTTATCATCAGGTCATTAAGTATCCACTGCAGGTGGCCAACTCTCACTGATTTGCCAGAAGCAAATAGCGGATTTTGCATACACTCTCCATGCTGTTCAGACGGGTTTTGTCAACATCTTTTGCCTGTATAGCATACCTCTGACAAAGTATGATCGACCAAACAAAGTACCTACAACATCGGCATCAACCATTTGACAATCGGAAATAAGGCCTCACATTGTAAGGCTGAATTCATATCTTGCAGTAAGACATCTAAGGTTTATTTTGGCGATATCATATTTTTACATTTGACGAGATTAATTTGACTTTCAGTCAAGGTTATGGACAGAGACATTCAAACTGAGGCCCATCCCATTGATGAACACATAGAGAAGAACTACACGTGGGATATGTGGGAGTGGAAACGACGGGCTTGCCAGTGGGTTAGTGAAGTTTCATTATAAATCAGCTAAGCATAAGCGAATTACAACAGAAAGATTAAATTAGAAAAAAAAATCATGTATGAATAAACGCGACCGCTCCCATACCTTATTCTTACCATACCATACTCAGTTTAGACTTGTAGTATATTATCAGCTTATACTACATATTCAATAGTTTCAATTTCAAACATGTGATTACTAAATCTTTTTTTATTAATACAGGCTTCAATAGTGAACTGCCAGACGCATTCCACGCAAACCAACTACAGTCACCTCCGTTCCGAGATCCACTGTCAGACAGTAGAACCTCGGGACAAGTGTATGCAGACGAGGCGCGATGCGGGCGTCAACACTGCGGCTAACAACTTCTTTTTATGGGGACTACGGGGGCAGAAGGGCGACGGACAACACTCTATGGATTTAAAGGACAAACTCGGGGCGGAGAAGAAAAAAGGTGGGTAATTAAAAAGTGGGCGCTCTCTAAGTTTGACCTTCACTGGTTGGGCTTTTATTGGCGGTCAAGCTGTAGAACCTGGCTACACAGGAGTTGCGGCAGTGGGAACGAGAGGTGGGAATAGTCTCGCTCTGTAAGTTTGAGAACCGGTGGAAAGTCATTCACTACAGTCAAAAGCTCAACAGTGGACCTCTGAGATTCACTGTTAGACCGTAGAGCCTCGAGACAAGTAAATCAACACCACAGCCAATAACTTTTTCTTGTGGGGACGGGGCAGAAGGGCGACGGACAGCACTCTATGGATTTAAAGGATAAACTCGGAGCGCAGAAGAAAAAAGGTGGGTAATCAAAAAGTGGGCGCTCTGTCAGTTTGAGAACCTGTAGAAAGTCAATCAACTATTACTATTTACAGGATGGGCTGACAGTCGGGATAGCCGACTATTCGGCGTCGTTTGTAGTCGGCTACTAGTCGGTGACTATTCAGCAAAATATGTCGATTATAAATTGGCGCATAACAAAATTAAATGATTGCAAAATTATAGAACTTCCTTAGGCAGTAGGTAGTCTAGGGAGGCTGTTAGCTATCTACCTACATAACTGCCTAGTAGATGCCTCCTATTCACTCTCGCCTTGAAGACATAATATATCTATACTAATATTATAATGCTGAAGAGTTTGTTTGTTTACTTGAACGCGCTGATCTCGGGAACTACCGCGATACCGGTTCGATTTGAAAAATTCTTTCAGTGTTAGATAGCCCATTTATTGAGGAAGGCTATAGGCTATACAACATCACGCTACGAGTAATAGGAGCAGAGCAATAATGAAATGCGAAAACGGGTTTTCACGCGTACGAAGTCGCGGTTACAGCTAGTATTATTATATTAAGAACTTTTTATTTGCAGCCCGAGTGATCCAGAAGTGTTCCTGGCCTTGCATAGAGCCGGGCGGCTCCGATGTGTGCACAGCGGTCGATAAAGACCTACTGCATTGAACAATCAAGAATTTCTATCATTTTATTACAATTTACCTATTTATTAAAGTTTTTAAGTTTTATAAACTTTTTTTTTCCAAAGAATTATTTTTAAGTCCCCAGTGATCAGTTTCAGTATAGTAAGACCCAGAACACACGGTGAAACGCAACTGCAACTTATAGACTTTCGAAAGTTTCAAACTGGTCGCGTCATGTGTGGTCTCTCAACGGACGCTATGGCGATGCAACTCGAAAGTAACAAGCAGTACCTCTAGTAGGAAAAACTTTCGAGTTCGTTTCGTTGCGTATTCAAAGTGTCATCGAAAAATTTTGTATGAAAAATTAAACAGCGCCCCCTAGGGCGGCTATAATATAGGGGGCCAAATCTATCAAGCCAAAGCGTATTTTTTCTTGGAACTTTAACTTTAGATATCTTTTATTACGAGTACATTTAGATCCAGGAAAAAATACTAAAACGGAGTGTCATCGAAAAATTTTGTATGAAAAATTAAACAGCGCCCCCTAGGGCGGCTATAATATTAGGGGGCGCTGTTTAATTTTTCATACAAAATTTTTCGATGACACTTTGAATACGCAACGAAACGAACTCGAAAGTTTTTCGTACTAGAGGTACAGTTGTAGTTTCGTTGCAGTTGCGTTTCACCGTCTGTTCTGGGCCTAAGTGTACCTACACATTTTTAGATTGGACACCTATTATTAGTTTAAATTAAACACATCGTTTTAAAGTAATTAATGTAATTTGCCAAAACGCCCTTAACTTTAAGGCCAGTTTCCACCAAGACGGAGCGGAGAAGATGGTCTCCGCTCCGCTCCGCCTTGGTAAAAACCGGCCCTTAGACTCCCCGAAGACAACAGACTAATTTGCAGTCCGTGGGGTGTCTTACCATTCATGGCCAACACTTTTCATTATTTTTTAGGCAAATAATATTTAAATACAAAATACACCTTAATAATAATAAGTTCATCACCTCCTCAATCTATTGAAGGTGTCCCTCGCCTGTCTGGCCAGTGCGATATCATCGGCTCGCTGTTTCAAGGAGGCGGCTTCTTCGTTCAAGGCCGCCAGTGTGGATACCAGGGTCATCAGAGACATCGGCAGAACGCCGTCTGGCACCGACAGCTTTGTGTATTTCATCTGGAAACATAAAAAAGAAAACTGACTGATGTATCAATGCACATTGCAGCCCAAACCGCCGAGTCTAGAATGCATGGACTCACTTGGACCAGGCAGGGGCCACTCAGGCAGTTTATGAGCTAAAAGCGGGCCGCCGAATATAAAAACAACTAAATAAATAAAGGTTCATCATCATCATCATTTCAGTCATAGGACGTCCATTGCTGAACATAGGCCTCCCCAAATGCTTTCCATGTTGATCGATTGGTAGCGGTCTGCGTCCAGCGCTTCCCGGTTACCTTTACGATGTCGTCGGTCCACCTTGTAGGTGGATGGCCCACGCGTCAATAAAGGTTCAGGTTGTTATAATTTATCTATTTTTATTAGGTCATTGGCGGGCCGCGGTTTGCGCATCCCTGTTCTAAGGACTCCGAATGTGGCCAGTAGGTTTTATGCAGGCTAGGGGAAAGAAGAAAGGATTTCTCAAAATTCACCCCCTAAGGTTGGTTTTAGTGTCACGCGGACTGTCCGGTGCGGACCCGCTCCGAATCGGCCAATCTGTACGTACTTCTAGGGAGCGTTTTAGAGTAATGCGGTCCGGAGGAACCGCTCCGCTCCCTAGCAGTTCATACAGATCGGCTGTGCGGAGCGATCCGCACTGACAGTCCGCGTGACACTAAAACCAGCCTGTGAGGGTGAAACGGGGGTCTAAAGTTTGTATGGGGAAACCAGAATAGAGTATTCGAAAATTTACAGTACTGTACAGTATCTATGGATAAACGAATTCTTACCTTAGCTTTCTCACAGCTCTCTTCATACGACGCAACCTTCTGCCTCAACTGTCTGATGTGTTCCTGTATATTCTCAGGACTCGGATTCTGAGCCGATAGGGAACTCTTCGAAGACTCCAAATCCCTCCTTAGTTCAGCCAAAAACTTGTTATTACGGTCTATTTTCGCTTGCAGCTCCGCGTTATTCTGCTTCAATTTTAAAATTTCGTAATCCTGTTCTAGTTTTTCTGATAGAATTTTGGAGTGTTGGAGAGATATGGCTATAGGGTCTAGGTGTTCGATGCCTGTAGATTTTTGACTCTCGGCGGTTTGTATGAGTATTTGTTGACATTTTTGCGGCAGTGCCTGGATGTTTACATTCAGTTTATTCAGGATCTCCGAAGTGATTGCAGCTGGAAAATTAAATAAGATAAATTACAAAAGAGATAGGAACAAAGGCACTTTTAGGCGGCAGTATTATTTTAAATCTATACCTACCTACTACTGAGTGATTTTCGATTAAGTGCATAATAAAGCTGAAATACATTATTAGGCCTTGTTCAGATGTCACGCGATAACGGCACGGTTTCTGGGTGGTTCTCATTGGCGAGGCACTGAGGCGGTAACCACGCGGTGGTTCATCAACATCATCTCAGCCATAGGACGTCCACTGCTGAACATAGGCCTCCCCCAATGCTTTGCATGTTGCCGGGTGGGTAGCAACCTGCGTCCAGCGCCTTCCTGCTACCTTTATAATATCGTCGGTCCACCTTGTGGGTGGACGTCCGTCCGTCCGTCGGGCTATGTCAGCGACTTTACTTCGTTTACGGATCTCCTCATTTCTGATTCGATCTCGTAAAAGGAGTGCAGTGGTGGTTACGGTTGGAAATGCTGCCCGAAACCGCGCGATTATAGTGCAGAATTCGTCTGAACCAGGCCTTATACTTAAGTTAATGTACCTATTTCATTAATTTTAATTAACAGCATAAGTTTAGGCAGTATTATTAGAACAGGGAAAGGTCAGGTATCAATATCAAAAGGGCATTAGAAATTCAAACAAAAAATAACAGATTATCACTAATTTTATTAGCACTATCGTTGTCTATCTTAACAAAGTTATCAATTGAGTTATTCAGAATTCAATTCTGGGAAATTAACAATACTCTCAATTTTTTTGGCTACATTTAACAACAATTCTTCGGACAAACATGGTCCCATAAGTTGTATGGATAAAGGTAACTTATTCTTTGACAAACGGATCGGTACTGAAATAGCTGGTATTCCTGCCATGTTTGCTGGTTGAGTGCAGTAATCTTGAAATGCACACTGATCTCTATTATGCTTCGATACAAAATCACTATAAAGTGGTGCGTCACACAACGTTGTAGGTGTCAACAATAAATCTACAGAGTTTTCACCATTGAAAACATTGTTAAAATCATCTGAAATCAATCTACGTAACTTTAACGCTTTAATGAAATATTTATCATAATTTTTTGCTAACAAAAAGTAGTTTCCAGCAAATATTCTCCATCTGACTACGTTGTTGAAGCCTTTAGATCTAGATGATGCATAAAGTTCTTCAGTTGAGTAGTCTTCGTTAGTTCGTAGTCCATATTCTAGGCCGTCATATCTGGCCATATTACTAGCAACTTCACATTGGTTTAGAATAGAATATACAGCAATCGACACTGAAGTATGTGGTAATGATACAGCTTTGACATCTGCCTTTTCTTTTTCTAAAATATCAGCGACATATCTCCATGTGTCTAGCACTTCTTCACTCATTCCTTCACAATGATATTCCTTAGGTATTCCTATCCTTACTTTAGATAAATCTATATCTACAAGATCAACTGGCTTGTAAGCTCTTTTTATTGTTGTTGAATCCAAATCATCTGGGCCAGCTACACAATTCAATACAGTTATAGCATCTTCAATATTTCTAGTCAATATACCAGGCACATCCATTGAATTAACTAAAGGTATCAGGCCATATCTGGATACAAGTCCGTAAGTTGGTTTCAGGCCTACAATACCACATAGAGCTGCCGGATTCCTAGTTGATCCACCGGTGTCTGACCCAATGGCGGCTAGACACGCCCCAGAGCTCACCGCAACAGCGCTACCGCCAGAACTGCCTCCCGCTATCCTCCAATCATCAGCATTCTCGTCAAATCCCCATGGATTCCTTGTAGGTCCAAATATGGAATCAATAGTGCCTGAACCCATCGCAAACTCGTCCAAATTACACTTGCCGATTAAGCAAGCACCGGCAGCTCTTAATCGAGAGTAAACTGTGGCGTCGTAAGTCGGCACGAAGCTTTTCAGCATGTTAGAAGCGCAAGTTGTAGGTATGTTGTAGGTACAGAAATTATCTTTAATTCCCAACGAAATCCCGTCCAATGGTCTCGTTTTCTTCTCAATATAGAACCTTTTTTCACTCTCGATTCCATGGTTTTCAGCTTCATCAGCAGTTATAGTCACAAAAGCGTTCAATTCGCTCGTTTGCTTCGCTCTTTGCAAACTCAAATCCACGAAACTTGTCGGTGTTAATATTTTATCCCTGTACGCTCTGTGGATTTCCTTTATAGTGTACGAAGTCAATTTGTTCATTTTTTATTAAATTACGTTTATTTTCAACTATTTTATTGATAATTTTTCAAACACAGGTTATAAACAAACTTGACATATGGATATAAGTTTGCCAGATTACGAAGTTAGTTCATGAAGTTGAAAGAGAGTCTATTCTAGTTATTCGCAAATGAACCGGGTTATATCTAACGTTTATTGTAATAGATTTATTCTTACCTGAGGCATTTTTTTCCTTTTCGTCCCTTTGAGTAATTTCATCAAGTAAATTATTGTGTTCTTCATTAAAAATTTGGTCAACTTTCATGATCACAAATACGAAATTGTGCACTTTTTGTAAGTTTTCAATCAAGTTTGAACTTTCTTCAACAGCGAAACAGCGACAACTAGCGTCAAAACAATGAACTACTTGACGTCAATGACATTCTTCTTGTGTTCCGAAATAAACAAAAATCTACTTTGGTTTTAAATAATTTTACGTGTAAGCAGAAAATACTTAATATTACAGGATGTGAGATACTCAGATTCTTGATTCATTCTTATTACAAACATGAACGCATAATTTTTCAAGTAAATTAATTTGAATTTGTGAAAAACTTAAAAACTAAAATTATTTCGCAGAGAAATCGGAATTATGTTAAGCACTGTGCTGTGTTCTTTTTCTTTTAAATTTGATTTATTTTTCTCGAGCGTTTGAACTAATTTGTCATAAAAAAAAGAATTTACAACAAATAGAACACGCCGTAAACATTTTTCAGAAAAGTACTTCTTGATTTTTACGACGAAGATAATTACAATTCCTAAATTGCTGGTCAATTATTGACTAAATAAAATTGATATATTGTTATAAATTGTGGGCGAACCGTACCTATGCAAAGGGACGTTTAAAATGGCTCATTTGCAATACATTCCGGGCGATCCTCGTTTGGTGGATCAACTGGTTTATGAACTGAAGTCAAAAGGAATCTTCGATCAGGTGAGAATAATCTAAAAGATCATATAATTATCTCGGACATTGGTCAGAGGGTACATTCTACACTTATGTACCTCTATCTACTGCAAGTAAAGCAATTTCTTAAATCAGCATTGACATAACAATGAAAACCCTGAATCCTTATAAATCCAATAAAAAAAAACTCTAAATATGTGTTAGCATCCCTTGTATCAGTATTTTAGAGGTAACTATTTATAAAAAAAATATATGTGAAACTACAAGAATACTTACTTTTGTTAAACTCAAGTCCTAAATGTAGACCAATAAAATTAATATTGTGAGGTCCATTGACAGTAAGTGGTGAAAAGCATGTTGTTTCCAAGCTTAAAATAAAGATTGCATGTTTCAATCAGTTTCAGTTTCAAAAGTTGTGTCACGAATTGCAATAATAGAAACAATCCTGGATAGATCCAAGTATTTGAAGTCTGATGTTGATTTAAGCAATTTTTTTTCAATAAAACATGAACATTTTTATCATTAAAACAATACCAAAAGCTGTAAGACATGTTTAGTACTTATTTGTCTCAAAGTGACATTCTAAGGTCATATGAAAATAATAATTTGTAATTCAACAAAATAGCAATATTTTCATACCATTACTTAAAAATATTTTACTTTTATATGAATTATAGTTCCGTAAGGACTGCATCGCTGATGTGGACACAAGGCCAGCGTATCAAAATCTCCGGCAGCGCGTTGAGAATTCAGTCTCAACATTCCTGGCACGACAGTGCTGGAAACCGGACTTGAACAAGAATCAGCTTCGTGAAAAACTCAGAAAACATATTTTAGAGTAAGTTTGTGTAGATCAGGGGTGCCCAAACTTTTGACCTGTGACGTCCGTGGTCGACCTCTTGGCCATCACTTCTTCTTCTTCTTTGGTTTATAGCGACGAACTTGCGTTTTTTCGCCACTGAAGGCACATTGGCCATCACTGGTGTAGATAAATGGAAAACACCACTTATCAACAATATTGTCAAATTTTAATGGTGTTGATCGTAAAAAAAGAGAATGTGCAACAAAACTTTTTTAAGTCGTTATTTAACCTGTGGAATATTATTCATCCCTTGAACCCCTCGTGTTAAGTTTGATATGCTTGTGTTACAAGTGGGTTCACCAAAATTTTATCAACTAATTAAGTAAATAGCTCTTAACATTAGATTATACTTAACACTTGTATGTTATAGCGGAAACTATCTGGAGCAAGGTGTCGAAAGAATCGTGGATCAGGTGGTGAACCCCAAAGTTGCGACAGTCTTCATCCCTCAAGTAGAAGACCTCGTCTACAATTACCTTGGGATCACCAGGAAGAAGACCACGCCTGTTGCGGAAACATCAAACGGAAAAGTCACCGATAATGATCTTCTACCCACAGACCTGGAGGCGGTCAGTCCAGCATCGGTCAAAAGTAACGACGACAAAACTGAAGCCATGGAAACTTCACACGCTGATCAGGACAACAAAATGGATGTCGATTTTGACAAACTAAAAGATGAAAAAGACCACTCAAATGACGTCGACGTTGGAAAAACAGATGACACCCGATTATCTGGTATAAGCGAGTTAACTTCAAATGATTCTATGGCTAGCATGGATAAGAGTTCCATTCCTTTGCCCAGCGAAGAAATAAAATTAGAAAATATACCTGCACCGGACAACAGTCCTCCGAAAATAACAAAAATTGAGGTGGAATTAGAGAAGATTGAGTTGCCTGAAGAGCCTGATCTATCAAGAGACATACCATTACCCAATGAGACTCCTAAATCAGAGAAGGAAGTTTATTTTAAGCCTGTCAACACTGACGATGATGATTCTAGTTCTGATTCGTCGTTGCGTAGAAACATGTCTCCTTTGACTCCAATTAGAAATTTCAATAATGAAAACTCTTGTGACGCGCAGCAAGCGTTTGAAAACGAAGACAGCAAAGACGATAAAAAAGATGCATTAGAGCCAAGTACCTTTAGATTCACAATTGAGAAGACAGAAAACAGTTCTGATGCTGTGAAAATGGAAAAGAACGAAACGGAACAAGCAAATCTATCATACCAGTTCACTAATCAAATGAATATCAACACGTTCAACACACCGATGTATGACGACAGTTCAAATAGCACCCACTTGCAAATCGATTACGAAAGTGACGCGAACAGCAAAACTAATGTCGAAAACAAAGTACCTGAACCAGATCACAATTCTGGGGATTCTAGAAAAGATAAAAAGACAGAGGAAAGGAAAAGTAGTCATAAAAGTTCACACCGCGATTCTCATAGACATTCTAGCAGCAAAGATAGGCGATCAGATTCTAAGCAATCCAGCTCTAAAGACAGCAGAAGTGATAGGAAATCTTCAAAAGATGATCGCAGGTCCTCGAGCAAGTCTAACACAAAAGAAAAGTCTAGTGAGCGAGACAAAAAAGATGAGAAAAAAGACAGAGATTCCTCCAAACACAGAAGCTCACATAAAAGTTCCAGTTCTAATAGTCATAAAGATTCAAAATCCCATAGGAGTTCCAGCTCCAGTCAAAGACATTCTAGCTCGAGCAAGCACGATGAGAAGCGATCATCGTCCTCCAGCCATAGAGATAAGTCGGATAGAAGTTCGGATAAATATTCCAAAGACAAATCCTCTAAAGAATCTAGATCCAGTTCCAATTCTACTCGTGATAAAGATAGAAAGAGTGGTAGCAGCAGCAAAAGCAAAAGCGAAGATAAAGACAGACAAAAGAAGGATAAAAAAGACGCAGACGATCATTATAGCGCGTCAGGTCGGGGAAACCACACTCGCAGATCGACGGACAGAGACTCAAATGACGGCAGCTCATCGTCTAAAGGGTCACATCACCCCACAGGTTCAAAGTCCACAGAAAACAAAAAAGAAACCAAAAGTTCTACTTCTAAATCTGATAACACTTCGACTAGTGGTGAATCAACCAGCCCCAGTGATAAAGACAGTGTCACTGACAAAAGTAAGAATGAATCAAAAGGCAAAAATAAAAACGCACCTCAAGTGAAACCGATTGTGAGAATTGAGAATCATCTAGAAACGCCTATATCGTCGCCTCCGCGACTTCCGTTCGTCCCAGATGTTACGCTAAAAAAGCCGAAATTCGCTGCTAACATGCAAGAAGCTAGGAAACTAATGAAAATGCGTAAATTCTTGGATGACGAACAGAAAAGAATGAACCAAGAGGCGGCTTTGCTTCTAGAATTCCAAGCCAATGTTCGACCGAGTTTGAGTCAAGTTTACTCAAGTATTCCCGGTCCTGAGTTGGAGTTTGCTTGCGTCACGAGTAATCAGAGGGAAATGATAATTTCCGACAGCCAAATACACTCTGAGACAGCCAATTCAAATATTGTTGAGAGCAGTGAATCTAGGAGCGATACTATCAGCGACATATTGACAGCGGCAGAACAAGTTGAGAACATAGAAGTTAGTAATGTTGAGGATCAAGTAAATTCAGAAAATGCACCTGCCGAAACTGAATCAATTGTCGTTGAAGGTGAAATTGATGACGAAGCTAATCAAAATGCTGATACCGCTACGGTCCAAATAGAAAATATAATAGAAACCGACATAAATGCGTGTGAAATGGAGGTGGATGTGAGTATTGATGACAATAAAATAGAAATTATTGATAACGAGTCCACGAAATCAGAGATAAGAGAGTCTGAATCTAATCATACCAATAAAGTAGAACTTGAAATCGATAGTGGCGGTGACGACATCGAAGCACAACTACAAAGCTTGATGCCTGACGATGATGTAGGCCCTGAGTACCTCACAGTCACCATCATTGCTGAAGAACTATCCGAAACTGAAGAAACCAATGCTGAACCAGTTACACCTAAAATAAATCTCAAACCTGAACCAGAAGAAAAAATTTGCCCTGATGAGCCCGAATTCAAATATTTTGCTGAACACGAGAAATACAACTCAGAACTAGAAAGAGATACATTTAGCAAATTCCTGAAAACCTTCATTGAAAAATCGAGCACAGACAAAATACATGTGATCAACTGTGAAGGTTATGTGGAGAATATCCTAAAGGAGGTGTCACAAAACTTTGGACAGTTCGAAATTGTGAACTACCACAAGAACGGCCATTTGAAGCTCAATACTGCCAAGAATATTGTGAGGAATGTGAATGTGTCGTCCGAAATAACGCTGCCTATAGACAAAGTTGGCCGAAAAAATATTTCTCCGATGTTCAGCCCAGTAAAATCGGAGTGCTCTTTCGAATTGTCAAGCGATTACGATGCAAAATTAGAGGAGATGGTTAGCAAGACTTCTCGGAAAGAAATAATGGAAATCATACTTGGCAACGTGATAGATGATCCAGCCAGTGATTCTAGTTTGGAGTTGCCTACAATAGATTACTGCATGGACTCCAATATAGAGAGTGACACGGAGAATACAATGAAAAGGAAGTTTTGTGAGGTGGAGAGCAGTGTGAATAACAATAGACAGGTGCTGACGCCGAATAAAATAAGGAAATTGAGCGGATCCGATCAGATTTCGTCCACTACTGAAGGTAAGGAAAATATTCGCACTTTTTGGTACATGTCCATTAAGTCTAGTTAAACCTAAATTCTATCAAATTGATCCAATGATGCTTGACATAAACTTTCGCCATCTAAATTTTAAACAGTACTTGAGTCCAATAATTTTATGCTCATCACATTCTGTGATATTGTGATAAAAAGAGACATAACCTACAGTGCAGTGAGCGTCAAATAGTACGTGACACCCAAAGTAACCAAAAAGTTCGCAACACAACCTTATATCAAATGCAACAAAGACTTTTTGGCTACTTTGGGTGTCAAACCAATGTGCTAAACATAAAATATTGAATTGTTTATTTCAGAGAGCGAAGAAACAAGCAACAACAATGTCTCAAACACTATGAGGTCGAAGTACTTGGGACGTGCCAAGAGAGTCGGGCTGCCCAGGCCTCGGAGATCAAGTAAGTATAAGTTTCAACCAAAGGACGTTCGCTGCTGGACAAAGGCCTCCCTCAAGGATTTAAGACCGCTTTCAGATTTAGGCGATTTAGCAGCGCGACAAACGCGCGACAAACGCGCGATAGACGCGCTGCCGAAAATTTCATACTACATATATGACAGCTAATGCATGCCTTCACATTATAAAAACGCCGCTGTCGCGCTACTAACTCCCTAATGTGAAAGCGCTCTTAACAACGATCGGTCCTGCGCTGCTCATTTCGTCGGTCCTCTTGATAATTTTATTCCCCCAGTGGTTTTTGAGAGCGGTTTGGAATTCGGTCCGGTATAGTCGTAGAACTTCACTTTTCGTCAACTTTTGATTTATACACTCGACGTCAAATAAATCACACCTCCCGCGACAAGCATTTTCAAACGTATGCATCCTCACTTCCTACCAATATTGGTACCATTTAAAAGCCTAGTTCTAACCTTCATTTCATTAAAGGAAAGGATTTAACCCCAAAAATGTGTCTTTAGAAGGATTCAGAGTCACTTCTTCAAAAAATAGGTAGTTACGCTAGAGCCAACTTTTATGGCTATAAAACTGTTAAGTTGGGTTTAATTGCTATCCATCTGTTAAAGAGGACACGTGAAATCATTATTTGGTTTTATAACCATAAAATTTGGTCTAATTGATCCCATAGGTGGGCCCAAAGTGAGGTATTTTTTCAAGTCTCATTTATGGTATATGTTAATCATTTATTATGAAATTAAATGTGTTTTTCTTTAAGGACATTTATTGGGCTTTCAAATAACACCAATATTGTTGGGGTACCATGATTGTTTCAGAAGAAAATCGTTAAAGTTCGCGTCGTGGAAGGTGCGGTTTATTTGATGTTGAGTATATTACGATTTCCGTCATTGCTCTATTTAGTTTTCTGGGTTCGCATTTTGATGGATTCGGACTTAATGCCAAACATCTGTAAGAGCCCCCGACTACACACTTTTATCGGTTAATAGTTTGGTCAGTTTCTAATTTGTATGAGGAAGCGGCCGATACCAAATCGGTCATACTTGTTCATACTGATTTACAGCCCGACCAAACTATCGGCATATTGTATCTGTGTAATAACCCTACATTCTTGTCCTCAGACCTGCCCAACAGTCCGTCTAGCGACAAGTCGGTGGAGAACTACGAACAGAACACAGCCACGCCTAACGGACGGGTGAAGCCTCGCAAAGTTCAGAGGTACGACACCTCGGACTTGTATAAACCGAAGCTGCATTACTTGTCGCGGCGGAACAATATCAGCTAGATTGTGGGAATATACTTCCCACCATATTTTTGGTTGTGGGAATATACTTCCCACCACATTTTGCCGGTGGGAATATACTTCCCACCATAGATTAACCGTATTTCCTTGTCTTGAGATCCAAAAACAATTTTTTTTGAACTTACTATACTATGCCCGGTTAGCATAACGGCTGGAGATTATAAATAATTCCTTGAATAAAGACTGCCTGTGCAATTTAGTGATAAGGAGATATGCGGAGCGACCGTTCCGCTGCCTTACTCTACTTCATTGGCTGGCTTCATTGAATATGCACGCGTGTGTTATTTATAAATGACTTAAAATCTAATTTGGAAGTTGTCTTATCTACACTCGCGAGCAAAACTATGGAATCACTTACATGAAGTTGTTTCCACGCGATCTTGTGTACTAACGAATTTGTTAGTAACAAAAAAAGTGGCACCATTTAAAAGATTAAACTTTTAACTTTAAATTGATACCAAATTTATTTAAATCACATCAGTATTTAAAAAGATATCCCGGTTAATGTGACGAAGTAAGGAAAAAGATATGTATCTACTCTTTGATACGTCGCGAGTTGCGGCCTATTTACCCCCTATAAAAGCACGTGTTTTCGGATTTTGCTTTTACACGTTGATCCTTACACATCTCCGCTTCTTTTGACACTTTACCTGGGATTCTACACCTTCAGAAGCAGCATAAATCGTTGCACAATTGCAAGAAGAGCTCAGCCAGCGGGCTGTCGCACGTCAGCTCCACATAAGCCAGTCCTGGGTTTCGAAAGTTTTAAGACGCTTTCGGGAGACTGGTGGCTTTATCCCGAGACCAAGTTCTGAACAGCACCGGTGCACATCGCAGAAGGATGACAGTTTTTTCATGTCAACCTCTCTATAAAATCGTCATTTGACTGGTATCGACGTCCAGCAAGAGCTCAGAAATGTTCGTAGGATAGCTGTTAGCAAGTGGACAGTTCGTCTAAGATATAAGCAATAGAATTTGACTCCAAAAAGGCCTGCCACGGGCTCGAAACTGACGGCAGGTCACCGATAAGCACGCTTTCAATTTGCTCGTACACATCTCGATGGGAAGTCGAGCAAGCCACCCCTATAAGCCACTGTTTCAGCGAACCAGCACTGCACAAATCTCTCCCCAGGCCGCCTATAGACCCGACCTCTTCGACTGCTGCACTGCAAACACAGTCTGCATTCATCGGAGAACAAAACTCGCCTCCATTACTCGCCTTCCCATCAAAATAAGTGCGAGCTAATTGAAAGCGTGCTAGTCGGTGACTTGCCGTCAGTTTCGAGCCTGTGGCAGACCTTTTTGGAGTCAAATTCTATTGCTCATATCTTAGACGAACTGTCCACTCGCTAACAGCTATCCTACAAACATTTCTGGGCTCTTGCTGGACGTCGATATCAGTCAAATAACGATTTCATAGAGAGTTTGACATGAAAAAACGGTCATCCCTCTGCGATGTGCACCGGCGCTGTTCAGAACTTGGTCTCGGGATAAAGCCACCAGTCTCCTGAAAGCGTCTTAAAACTTTAGAAACCCAAGACTGGCTTATGTGGAGCTGACGTGCGACAGCCCGCTGGCTGAGCCCTTCTTGCAATGCTGCAACGATTTGTGCTGCTTCTGAAGGTGTAGAAGCCCAGGTAAAGTGTCAAAAGAAGCGGAGATGTGTAAGGATCAACGTGTGAAAGCAAAAATCCGAAAATACGTGCTTTTATAGGGGGTAAATAGGCCGCAACTCGCGACGTTTCAAACAGTTGATACATGTCTTTTTCCTTACTTCTTTACATCAGCCGGGATATCTTTTTAAATACTGGTGTGATTTAAATGAATTTGGTATCAATTTAAAGTTAAAAGTTTAATGTTTAAAATGGTGCCACTTTTTTTGTTACTAACAAATTCGTTAGTTCACAAGATCGCGTGGAAACAACTTCATGTAAGTGATTCCATACTTTTGCTCGCAAGTGTACAACTTCACAGCGAACAGAGCTAATTTGCGACATAGAGAAATAGTTTATTAAAAAGTCAAATCACTGACTTCGTATTGTAAAACGACGTTCAATAATAAATTTAAGAGGCTCGATTTTGTGCTTGATCTTGGATAGAGTTTTGAGTCTCGTTCTTTAATATGGGTCTTATATTCAAAATCTCAGTATAGATCGCTAGTAAATATCACTGCCAGTTGTTTATTTTTATACAAATAGTAATATAATATTTATACACATTGCTGATAGTAAATAATTAAATTAATCATACTGTGAGGTAATTGCCTTAACCATCACACAACATTTAATAATCTGTACAATCTGATAAAGGATGGTTCTGGTGTTTAAATACAACTACTACCCGACTGCGCCATTTTTTTGGCTTTTTACGGTCTGGTCTGGCCAAATATTGTCTTGTCCGGCCTGTCCGGCTTTTTACTTGGCTGCCGCACCAGGCGAAAGTCGAGCCACAGAGTCCGGCTTTTGTGTTTTTGGACCTGGCAACCCTAGATCCATAGCTAAAATAATAAAAAAAATCAGTTTTCGATGGCAATGCCATATAAAAAGTTGTATTTGAACATCACTTTCTCCTTTAGTTAGGTTGTTTTTGGACTAAAATATTGATAAAATGAGAAAAATGCTTAATTAATTAATTACAACTGGATTGTAATTGTATTGTACTCTGTTAGAAGTAAGTTTTTGATTTATTCGTCATTACCATGACATGTATAAGTTGTAAATATTATTTTCTTGTTTGATGTGAAAGTATAATAATATCATAGATTTAGGCGCATTATTGTAATGTTAGAAATAATTTTATTTCATTGTTAAACTATCAAATATTTAATAAAATATGCATATTAGCTTTCAATTTATAAGCAATAAAATGTGTACAAATTAATATGTGTTTAGCTAGTGTATTTTTGTAATTTGTAACCCGGTATTTTTGTACGCGACGTTTGGAGTTACGGTCTTGAATAATTATGACGTATCTCTTTTTCATCATTGATCAGTGAGAGGGGACTAACTACTATACTTACGAGCAAAAGTATGGAATCACCCCTTGTGTTTTGTACCGAGCGATCTTAAGAACTGAATGACTGTATGTATATTTGGTATCAATTCAAAGTTTATAATATTACCTTTAAAATGGTACCATTTTTATTTGTCTCCTATTAGTCATTTAGTTTTTGTGATCGCTCGAAACAAATCAAATAGGGTGATTTCATATTTTTGCTCGCGAGTGTAGAAAGGGGCGTAAAGCCAGCCACACTGCGCTTTCACCTTTATCATAAAACACATCAAGAAACATCATAGTTGTTCCATGCCATGATGTTCTTCTCTCTGTCTTAGCACATCTCAATAATTATGACACCTACTGTCATAAACTGGTTTGCTTCCTATCTTCGTGGTCGCCAACAAGCGGTTAGCGGTAAGCTACTTCAGAAATACCGGGTTATTGTTCTATTATCTATGAAGTATGTTAACGTAAGGTCTTATTAAACTGACAACGAATGATCACTATATCAGTAAGGCTCCGTTTCCGCTAAGGCAAAGCGGAGCGGAGAAGTTTTTTGAATAATCAATCAATTTCCTGGTTTCCTGAATAATGAAATCTGATTGGTTATCCAAAAAACTTCTCCTCTCCGCCCATGGTAGAAACCGGACCTTAGTTATTTAAACAAACTTATAAAATATCGTTTAAAAATATCAACAAAGAAGTTAAATGTCTATTCTAAGTAGGAATTGATTTACATAAGATTCAAGTGTATTTATTATTATTTTGGTTTTCTCGAATTAAATATTATGTGTACAGACGACAGCATATATTATAAAGCTTGTGTTGTTGACCGTACATTCTGTATTTATGTAAATTCTAAATTACTTGCTTCCCAAATGATTTTAAACTTTAATCTATTAAAAATAAGACTTAAATATTGGGTGTTAAGTTTGTGCGGCGAAGTCGTGCTCGCCCTCTACGTATTTAAACTTAGTAATTATTTACAATATTATTATATCCTATTGATTTTACTGTGATTAACGCAAAAAAGTAGGTAGAAAATTATAAATAGGTATATTAATAAGCAAATCTAAGGATAATGTACCGAAATGTCATGGTGAGATTGATCTACTTATTTGGCTGCCTGTAGGAGTAAGTATTAAAATTAATTTTAGATTTTACTGAATTGTGACTAAATAATTAATCAATTAATTTTTGTGTAAATGGTCTCGAATGTATTTGGGGCACACAATTTCAAGTTTTTCCCAGTGAAAATGCGCGACGCGCTTAAAGGTGCGTACGCACATGCGTAACGGAAAAATCTGTTTACTTTTCTAGAAAACACACAATTTATGCAATATCCTATAAAAACGCATTAGCGATCATTACGGTAAGCATTGAGTGATATTATTTTTGTGAGTCTGTATTTACCTACGTTTTCGTGTATGTCGTCAATGTAATGTAATGTACTGTTAGTGATTTATTTAATAAAATATAAAATTATATTTATTTCGCTTTTATTATTTTTATACCATCATTTTGAACCAAATTCTCCCTTGAAGTAACTGTAACTTGAACATATTGTACTTTACACCTGTTTACTAAAGAACATGAGTATGTTTACAATAACAATAAATATTCGTTATCAATAAATTATCACTGACTTGCTTTCAATATAATGACCCTGCTGAAGTTATAATGAGCCCATTAAGGTCGTGAGTCAGCTTGACTATTATCATTAGTTCTAACTTCTAGGTCGGAATATTGTGCAATAATATAATTTAAAGTAAATAGGCTTTTTCCATCAGTACAACTTTTTTCTTATTTTGTTTGTTACAAACAACCCAGACCCAGTCAAGTTAACTGCGCACCTGGTTGCCGTGACGTCACATTGACGCTCTGGTACGGATGGGGCGTACGCCGGGAGAGGAGGGAGTCGCATTCCAGCCAGTGCGCAGTTAACTTGACGAGTCTGGGTTTAATTCCGCGCTATAGTTAGAGTAGGAACTGGCTGAAAAAAAGCATGGGTGCATAAAAATAAAAGAGCATCTATAAGTAAATAAATAATCTTTAATTACAAAACAGGGTGTAGTCAGAATTACATTATAATACTAATGTCAACGAAAGCAAACTAATGATTATAAATACACCAAGAAGACCACTTGGTGATGACAAGTTTAATGAATTTACTGTAAAATGTATAATACTTCATTCTAAATACTAAAATGAATCTGAAATATCAATAATGAATAAAATTTTCACTAAAAACTTCATGCAGTAAAAGATAAAAAGTTATGTTCCATGGTAATTAACTTTCAATTACTTTTGTATAACTTTTACATTAAAAAAAACTATGGAAATGAGGAACTAACAGGAATAGTATTCATTTACTTCTTAACTTAGAATGAAATACCAGTTTTATCTTTGACAAAAGCTATCACCATTTCAATACTTAGTAAAATTTAAAGTATTATTTATAAAGGCTATTTTGTACTGCAGTTTTTATAGATTTAATAACAGCATCAATAATAATATATCGAAAAGTGCGCTATGCACAGCCAAGGAATACTAAACTTACAAAACTAAAATTCAAATGCATATAACCACTGAAAAAAATTAATTAAAAATGCTAAGTCAAAGATAAAATTGGAACATTAGCTTTAGGTTCTTTGAGAGGTTATAGCACAAACCTTACGCTATTTAAACGTTAAGTACATACATTCCTATATTCTGCCTCCTGTCTTATAAAGTTGATGATACTAATACAGAAAAAAGATCTTACGTTAAATTTCTCTAAAAATGTGGTAACATTGTAAACAATCATTTTATTCATTTTAATTGTGTGCAGCTTGCTTCTCAAGTCCTGCAGGGTCTAAAATTGGTGACTGTTTCTTTACAATACCAGATAGCAGGGTTTTGATCTGGGCAATAGCACGTCCCGGGTTCAGTCCTTTCGGGCATGTTCGTGTGCAGTTCATGATGGTATGGCAACGGTACACAGAGTATGTGTCCTTCAGTTTCGATAAACGTTTAGCGGTGGCGTCGTCACGGGAGTCGATGATCCATCTGTAAGCCTGCATGAGGACGGCCGGGCCCAGATACTTGTCTCCGTTCCACCAGTATGATGGACAGCTGGTGGAGCAGCAGGCGCAGAGCACACACTCGTATAGACCATCGAGCTTGGCACGGTCCTCAACGTCTTGGAGTAGCTGAGTCTCCTTACCTTTGACGGGCTCCTTGTCACGCTGCAGCCATGGCTCAATGGACTGGTACTGGCGGTAGAAGTTGGTCAGATCTGGCACGAGGTCCTTGACCACGTACATATGCGGTAGTGGATAGATTTTCGATGGCTTGGACAGGCTTTGGTCAATATGGCTAATGCAAGCAAGAGTGTTTACTCCGTCGATGTTCATCGCGCACGAGCCACATACTCCCTCGCGACAGGACCTCCTGAAAGTCAGGGTAGGGTCGATTTCGTTCTTTATCTTCAGAAGAGCATCCAACACCATAGGAGCGCAGTCATCTAAATCCACCTCATAGTTTTGGGTGTATGGCTTCTTATCAGGCTCGTCGGGGTTCCACCTGTACACGGCGAATGTCTTCACCCGCTTGCCGAGGGCTGGTGACGTCGCGAAGCTACGCAGCTGCCCAAAAGTACCCGAAGTCAGCCTCAGCAACGGCATTATGTAATGTTTTGTGTATCAAAACAAAAGCGGTGGACGAGTCGGGCTCAAAACTATTTACGCGTAGTGCGATTTTAAAACTGCAACAGGCTTCTGTGGTCCTGTTTATCGCGGAAAATAAATATTAGTTTCGAATTATCACCCTTTCACAACTTGGCGAAATGATATCTTTTGACAGCACAGATTAGAGAGTTTGACAGGTGAAGTGACAGCCAGACAATAAATGAGCGAATGAATGAATGAGAATGAACGAATGTGATTTTCTAGTGATGTCCATAAAAACTTTTAAAAATATTCAATTTGTACTTAAAGTACAGCACTCAAAAACGGATAAAATAAATAATCTAAACAAAAAAGCATTACGTTCTACTGATGGGTAATTATTTTGTTTCTACATAAGTAAAAGACGCGTGACATCATCATTTCAGTCATCATATTATGCTAGTGGCCAGGCCACTGCAGACACTGCAGTGCTACCTTAAGCCTTTCAGTTTGACCGGTTGGTAATTTGTGGTAAAACCGATGGATTGGCAAGGCTCTGGAAAATGGACAGACAATATCTTACTTTAGAGTTGTAAGAATGCATTGGATGCTTTGAAAATCCAGAACTTCTTCGTCACTTATTTAATAAAAATTTTAATGAAGTTTTTTTACTTTGCTTTTTGGAGTAGTCATGAAGCTTCAAGTGTGTTATTTTTATTGACTTTTTTCTGTGCTCTCTAATACTGCACCAAACGATTAATGTAATTTAACATTAAATTAAATAATTTAAACAACGCGGTGTGTGAAATGGACTTCACTACACTTTTGGCGGGAATTGTGTTTTTGACAGACAGCTGACAAATTAATTTTCGTTTGTTGTTGTTGTGTGTTGTGATAAGATTAATTTTAATAGAAATACAATGAAAAACACGCCTACATTAAAATCACTAAGCAAAGTAGACTCGCCCAAAACCCCAGGTGGCATTAGCAAGTCCTTATTGACGCCTTGTCGCAGAGTTGGTCTTTCACGAAATTGGAGAAAAAGTGGACCGTCACCGTTTATTTCTCCTCTTGCCGGCAATGCTGAAGTTAAGGTTGAAAAAATCGAGCCCAGGAAGAGAAAAAAGCGTCACGATGACGAAGAATTGGCAAGTGGATCGTCTGATACAACGGTTTCAAAAGATGTCCACATAGATGAAGATCATTCGTCAAATATCGAAGATATTGAGACAACACCTTCAAGAAATGTCAGCACTCCCCAGAGAAAGAAATCCAAGACACTCCTTGCATCTAGAATAGTTAACAAAGAGAGTAGTGATGTCGAATCGCTGAAAGTAACAAATGAATTTGTGAATAATGCAGATACTACCAGTATAGAAGAATGTACAAATACGAAAATTATTGAAGACACTAAAAAAGACCTAACAGATGTTGTTACTCCAGTTCGTTCCAAGTCAAAAGGTAAAATAAGCAGAATTAAACCTACTGTTCAAGAAACTGTTAAAGTTGTTGATTCCAAAGAAAATGTTTGTGTAAATGAAAATATTTCAAATGAACTGAGTAAAAATACTAAACAGAAAAGCCCTGAAAACCTCACTAAGGAATGTATAGTTGTTATTCAGAAGAAGATTTTTAAGAAAGATATTAAATCTATTGAGAAAGACAAACCAAAACAAGAAACTGCAATACCAAAGTCTAATCCTGTGAACCCAATATCACAGATATTATTTGATTCAGACTCTGATGATGTGCCTTTAGTTGCTTTGAATAAAAACGAAATAAAAGAAGAAAAAAGTAAAAATGTGATTCCTGTAGATGACGATGATGACTTTGATAATACATGTAAAATTAAAGTGAAAAAACTAGTTGATAAGACCACATCTATTGGAGGACTTAGAGCTGATTCAAGTAAAAAGAAATGTAAAGAAAAACAGAAAGCAACATCATCAAAATGCAAAGAAATCGAACCTAAAGTATGTACAGAATCGAAACCATCATCACAGAGCTCTTTTGATGATGATGATTTTGTTACTGATAATAGACGAACAATTCTGATTCGGAAATCTTATGATAAAGTGACCAAACCTTCTAAAGCAAAATCTACAGGGTCTATAACACTTAAAGATATTGAGGACCTGAAAGATAGGATTGAAGTAAAGAAAAAATTACTTTTAGCTAAAGCAACTGAAGACTCAAAAGAATTAAGAGATTTGATCAAAAAATGGCAAAAAGGATGCCAGGATGCTTTGATGGAATTAATGGAACTGATGAAAAACAAGTTTCCAGATAAACAGAACATGGATTACGCAGAAATACTCCAGACTTTGAAGATACCATCCTCATTGGTGGGCTATGATGAAGATAATGATTGTTTCAATACTCCTACAGATGAAAATATAATTCTATCTAAATTTAATACATAACTTTTAATGAAATAAATGTTACTTGTTACAAAATAACCTTTCATTGTATAGGAATAGAAGAAAAACAAATTTTCTAAGCTATTTTTTTATTAATATACATTTATAACTGGTACTAATCTAAAATCTGTGGGACCGGACTGGGTTAGCTGGGTCAAATAGTTTGGGGTCTTTCAAGAATGCTTTGTCCTTGTAGTAGTAAGGCATGTAAGCGCAGTTTTGTGCTTTCTTTATTTCATTTTCCACTAGTTCTTGTTTCTTTTTGCATAAGCCAGTGATGTGCCTTCCGTAAATCCTCCCTGTGTAGGGACTCTGAAATTGTGATAGTAACCTGACGTTTTTGTAGTCGGGGGTTATGTTCAGTTTACAAAGAATACATAGTTTAGTTTCTTTTTTGTAGGGGTTTTCGATTTCTACTGGGGCGTCGTCTTTTTCCACTGGTTTTGCATCAGTTGATGACAATCGTACAGCTGGTGTTATAACTCTGGGTGTATTATAAACTGAAAGGCAACAAATCGTCAGAAAACAATTTTACTATAACGTTACTGGTAGGATACATACAAATCAAATTACTTACACAGATGTCTATTTAATAAAGCTTTAATTAATGCCATGATTTAGACTTTAGCAGCAAATAAATTAAATTTCTAAGCTATTTTGGAAGTGGAAGAATTCCTTCCACACATAACCTCAAAAACAATAATTTTGACATTGACAATGTTGACATTTGTACGTTGCGTTCTGTTACTGCGTTAAATAAGTGGCAATCTTTTTGTGTAGTAAGTCGTTTCGTTTTCATTTAAGAAGCTAACTGAAACTGAAAGAAAAGTATTCGATGCACTTTAAATACTTATTTAAACAAGTTATTTATAATAAATAAATTAAATCATCAGATGTTGTAAGTAGTTTCTACATATCTATAAAAATATTTCTATTTCATGTTCAAAATAATCTGTTTGGAGGATCATTTTTTAGCAAATGAAACAATCATTAATTTTATAGTAGGTATTTATTACGAAATTAATTAATAAGATAAATGTAGTATTTATACTCAGGTATGTAATACCTAGTTTCTTAAAATATCTTTATCTGTAAAATTAAATGAAATGGTCATAGTGCGGGATGAATAAACTATTGATTGCAGGAATAAACTTAAACTCAACAGCAACGGGATCATTCTTGGATCATTCCTGTAAATCAGTCTTTTCGTAATTAATCTCTATTGCATTTATGCTTTATTACCCGACTGCGCCAGAAGATAGTTTTGATTATCTTCAGAAGTGACTGGCAGTGAAAATCTATCGGCTACACAAGGCCACATTTAATTTATTTTCTGGAATAAAAATTAATAATACATACAGTTTATTTTGCAATTCGATTGTATTTATGCATCACCAAAATCTATCGAAAGACTCGCACAGTTAACACTAGAAGTGCCGAAGATTACGACCCCCCTAAAAGCGCCGCTGGGTCAATTTTGTCCCAGCATATATTTTGTAACATTTTTTAGTTTCAGGCATGAANCAAATGAAGGGTTAAAGTACATACAGCACTCAAAAACGGATAAAATAAATAATCTGAACAAAAAAGCATTACGTTCTACTGATAGGTAATTATTTTGTTTCTACATAAGTAAAAGACGCGTGACATCATCATTTCAGTCATCATATTATGCTAGTGGCCACTGCAGACACTGCAGTGCTACCTTAAGCCTTCCAGTTTGACCGGTTGGTAATTTGTGGTAAAACCGATGGATTGGCAAGGCTCTGGAAAATGGACAGACAATATCTTACTTTAGAGTTGTAAGAATGCATTGGATGCTTTGAAAATCCAGAACTTCTTCGTCACTTATTTAATAAAAAATTTAATGAAGTTTTTTTACTTTGCTTTTTGGAGTAGTCATGAAGCTTCAAGTGTGTTATTTTTATTGACTTTTTTCTGTGCTCTCTAATACTGCACCAAACGATTAATGTAATTTAACATTAAATTAATAATTTAAACAACGCGATGTGTGAAATGGACTTCACTACACTTTTGGCGGGAATTGTGTTTTTGACAGACAGCTGACAAATTAATTTTCGTTTGTTGTTGTTGTGTGTTGTGATAAGATTAATTTTAATAGAAATACAATGAAAAACACGCCTACATTAAAATCACAAAGCAAAGTAGACTCGCCCAAAACCCCAGGTGGCATTAGCAAGTCCTTATTGACGCCTTGTCGCAGAGTTGGTCTTTCACGAAATTGGAGAAAAAGTGGACCGTCACCGTTTATTTCTCCTCTTGCGGGCAATGCTGAAGTTAAGGTTGAAAAAATCGAGTCCAGGAAGAGAAAAAAGCGTCACGATGACGAAGAATTGGCAAGTGGATCGTCTGATACAACGGTTTCAAAAGATGTCCACATAGATGAAGATCATTCGTCAAATATCGAAGATATTGAGACAACACCTTCAAGAAATGTCAGCACTCCCCAGAGAAAGAAATCCAAGACACTCCTTGCATCTAGAATAGTTAACAAAGAGAGTAGTGATGTCGAATCGCTGAAAGTATCAAATGAATTTGTGAATAATGCAGATACTACCAGTGTAGAAGAATATACAAATACGAAAATTATTGAAGACAGTAAAGAAGACCTAACAGATGTTGTTACTCCAGTTCGTTCCAAGTCAAAAGGTAAAATAAGCAGAATTAAACCTACTTTACAAGAAACTGTTAAAGGTGTTGATTCCAAAGAAAATGTTAGTGTAAATGAAAATATTTCGAATGAACTAAGTATAAATACAAAACAGAAAAGCCCTGAAAACCTCACTAAGGAATGTATAGTTGTTATTCAGAAGAAAATTTTTAAGAAAGATATTAAATCTATTGAGAAAGACAAACCAAAACAAGAAACTGCAATACCAAAGTCTAATCCTGTGAACCCAATATCACAGATATTATTTGATTCAGACTCTGATGATGTGCCTTTAGTTGCTTTGAATAAAAATGAATTAAAAGAAGAAAAAAGTAAAAATGTGATTCCTGTAGATGACGATGATGACTTTGATAATACATGTAAAATTAAAGTGAAAAAACTAGTTGATAAGACCACATCTATTGGAGGACTTAGAGCTGATTCAAGTAAAAAGAAATGTAAAGAAAAACAGAAAGCAACATCATCAAAATGCAAAGAAATCGAACCTAAAGTATGTACAGAATCTAAACCATCATCACAGAGCTCTTTTGATGACGATGATTTTGTTACTGATAATAGACGAACAATTCTAATTCGGAAATCATATGAAAAAGTGACCAAACCTTCTAAAGCAAAATCTACAGGCTCTATTACACTAAAAGATATTGAGGATTTGAAAGATAGGATTGAAGTAAAGAAAAAATTACTTTTAGCTAAAGCAACCGAAGACTCAAAAGAATTGCGGGATTTGATAAAAAAATGGCAAAAAGGATGCCAGGATGCTTTGATGGAATTAATGGAACTGATGAAAAACAAGTTTCCAGATAAACAGAACATGGATTATGCAGAAATACTCCAGACTTTGAAGATACCATCCTCATTGGTGGGGTATGATGAAGATAATGATTGTTTCAATACTCCTACAGATGAAAATATAATTCTATCTAAATTTAATACATAACTTTTAATGAAATAAATGTTACTTGTTACAAAATAACCTTTCATTGTATAGGAATAGAAGAAAAACAAATTTTCTAAGCTATTTTTTTATTAATATACATTTATAACTGGTACTAATCTAAAATCTGTGGGACCGGACTGGGTTAGCTGGGTCAAATAGTTTGGGGTCTTTCAAGAATGCCTTGTCCTTGTAGTAGTAAGGCATGTAAGCGCAGTTCTGTGCCTTCTTTATTTCATTTTCCACTAGTTCTTGTTTCTTTTTGCATAAGCCAGTGATGTGCCTTCCGTAAATCCTCCCTGTGTAGGGACTCTGAAATTGTGATAGTAACCTGACGTTTTTGTAGTCGGGGGTTATGTTCAGTTTACAAAGAATACATAATTTAGTTTCTTTTTTATAGGGGTTTTCGATTTCTACTGGGGCGTCGTCTTTTTCCACTGGTTTTGCATCAGTTGATGACAATCGTACAGCTGGTGTTATAACTCTGGGTGCATTATAAACTGAAAGACAAAAAATAAAATAGAAAACAAAATTACTATAAAATAACTGGTAGGATACATACAAATCAAATTACTTACATAGATGTCTATTTAATAAAGCTTTGAATAATGCCATGATTAAGACTTTTAACAGCAATAAAATTAAATTTCTAAGCTATTTTGGAAGAATTCCTTCCACACATAACCTCAAAAACAATAATTTTGACATTGACAATGTTGACATTTATACGTTGCGTTCTGTTACTGCGTTAATTATGTGGCAATCTTCTTGTGTAGTAAGTCGTTTCGTTTTCATTTAAGAAGCTATAGCCTGACCAGGAACATAAAAACCCTCGCCATGTTGCGGAAAACTAATGGTACTAATTTCTTTTAATGCTAAAATCTTTTTATAGTCGTGAAAGAAAAGTGGTTCACAATGTGTTAAAGTATTTGTCGAAGAGAAATACTAAGGGTTCGGACAATATTTTCGTTGAATAATGTTTCCGACAAAGGTTGTCAAATTGACTGACCTGTGGGTCTAGACAAAGTGCAAATTACAATCGCAAACCAGTCGAAAAGTGGTCGAAAAGCCCCTTTTTTGTATGGAGTTTTGACGGATTCGATTTTCGATTCGATCAAAAAGTGCGTTTTGTCTAGGGGGGCCTTTATCGTATAGTACAGTCCACTATGAAAATTAGCTGTGGTTTGTTTCAACTACCAATTTTAAATTTTTTTGTCACTTTCTAAGTGTTGAATTTTATGGAATTGGGAAAGAAGTACCGAGTTTGAAGCGTTCATGAGCAGACATTACAGTTGAATATTCAAGTTCTGAATTTGATTATTGATGAATAATAAAATAAATCCTACTAGCTCGATTGATGGTTTCATTTAATTTATTTAAACCAGGTTACCTATAATAATATATTTTCGTTAATTTATGAAAATATCAAATTAGCCCGTAATCCTGAATCCTGATACATAAAGTTAGCCTATTAATTTAACACAGGTACGACTGTACTCAGTGTTGCACTATCAAATGCAAAGCTGACGCGCCTATATGCCAGGGTTTTTATGTTCCTGGTCAGGCTATAACTGAATGAAACTGAAAGAAACGTATTCGATGCACTTTAAATACTTATTTAAACTAGATATTTATTATAGTTACCTATTTATAATAAATAAATTAAATCATCAGATGTTGTAAGTAGTTTCTACATAGGTAGTTATCTATAAAAATATTTCTATTTCATGTTCAATATAATCTGTTTGGAGGATCATTTTTTAGCAAATGAAACAATTATTAATTATAGTATGTATTTATTATGAAATTAATAACATAAATACTGTAGAAGAATATAATAAATAAGGTACTTAAAAATTGGTTAATCCGTAAAAATATTTTAACATGGGTGTTATAAAACTTTATTTAATAACTACCTACCTACCTAGTTTCTTAAAATATCTTTATATGTAAAATTTAATAAAATGGTCATAGTGCGGGATGAATAAACTACTTATTTCAGGAATACTAAACTTAAACTCAACAGCGACGGGATCATTCTTGGATCATTCATGTAAATCAGTCTTTTCGTAATTAATCTCTATTGCATTTATGCTTTATTACCCGACCGCGCCAGAAGATAGTTTTGATTATCTTTAGAAGTGACTGGCAGTGAAAATCTATCGGCTACAAGGCCACACTTAATTTATTTTCTGGAATAAAAATTAATAATACCTACAGTTTATGTTGCAATTCGATTGTATTTATGCATCACCAAAAGCTATCGAAAGACTCGCACAGTTAAGTTGGTAGGATACACTGTCAGTCTTTACCTATCCTTAACTTCATCAGTAACAACATCCTTGTTTAGCTGCCAAATGGAGTAGTTAAGACACGTCGCGAAGCCAAGCCAGGCTAGGTACGGCAGCATGAGGTAGCCAGCTGTTCTGTTCACTTGCATGAAGCTGGCGGTGCAGACTGCTGCGGCGGCGTCCAGAGCCAGCATGTGGAAGAATGCCTGAGGAGTTGAGGATATAGTTATGCAACTGATGCTGGTGTGGGAAAGTCTTTGTTTCAACGAACGACTCACGCGGTGTTGCTTCCTCACTGATGAAACAGGTTTAATGTAGGTAAGTACACGTCGGTCTTGAAGACAAGTTTAGTCACCAAAATCAAAATTAAATCTGGCTTCCTACTTACCAAGTTTACCAACATACTTACCTACTTCAATTAAATAAGAGAAACATCCGTATTGCTGTACCACCATGCCAATAACTCTACACTTACGTAAGTGACAAAACAGGTAGGTAGGTACCTACTTACCAGTTGTATTTGATGAAGTCCAAAAAAGACAGGTGTCCATAGCCAATTAAGAATCAACTGGCCTCCATACAAGGATAGAGGAATCATTGCCCTCTCTGAAATAAGATGAAACAAGAGAGTGAAGTCTTTCTAAGTTTGGGATCTAAGCAAGTATTAAGTAGTCTAGGTACGTAACTGTGACTGTGAGGAGGTGGTTTCTAAAACCTTACCAGTGAATCCACCGCAGCTTTTGAACACTAGATATGAGGCGAACCCCATCCCGGTGTAAAGAGTAGTCCACGCAGGCCCGAAAACCCAGTTGGGTGGGTTCCAACTTGGCTTGTGAATAAGCTGGTACCACGCCTTTCCGTCTGGGCTCTTGACCTGTCCGATCATGGTGAGCGTTCCTAACCAGCCACCCACATTGGGGATAATCATCCCAGCAACCATGGTCCAGTTAACCATATTGATCTAGTTTGGGGAAGAAAAAGACACAGCGTGAGCAGGGGTGAGCAAACTATGCTAATCCAAAAAGATTTATAAGATTGGNTAAGACGAGTTAAACACCAAGTGGACTCTGCGTAAAACGAATCTCCTCAGTCATCTGACAAGTGTCACCTGACGTTTAATGCGGCTAAATACAAGAGATCAATTTCTAGATGAGTTTACGTGCACTTTCTAATCTCTTCAATTTATCAGTGCAATGTTTGTTCAGTTCAGTGATTTCACCTTAGAATTTTAATTTTCCATTTTCCCGTAACTTTTTGCCTCCGGCGGCTGTTCAATTGTGCTATTTGATATCTCCGTAAGTGTACAATCTATTTGACTTACTTATTGTGCTCTCTAACGGCTTTCTTCGAAAGTTTATCACCGGCAAATCTATTTAGATAGTAAACACAGCTATTGCGCAATTTAACTGTTCTAGACTCACTGGCCCTCTAAGTAAATGTGACGAGTCGTCACTGACGACTCATCGTTGATAACTTCAGTTGCATCATCGTTAAAATTATTACCTTAGGGAGTTCCTAATTTTCTTCAAAAACTTGATAACCGCGGTAAGTATGACCTAACAGAAGACTGCCTGTGTGGTATCTGAATCAATATAATGCCGTTTATCTCTAATTGATAACATGTAATTAAAGCGTTACTTCGATAATTGGTGGGTTATCAGTTTGCTAAAACATTTGGAAGTGGTTGTGTGTTTGGAATAATTGGAATCATGGATATAACTAAGGCAAGGTATTAAAAACGTAATTAAATTCTATTGTGTCGAGTTTCTTGACTACTTTAAATGCAATATGTAATTTAATACTGTAATTACTTACCTAAATTAAAATCAGAAGTAATAGATAAGTAATGAGGATCAGTACTGTTGTAGAAAATTCAATAAAACTAGTATCTACGTTAATCTTTAAGACATAAGAAAGATATATCTTTTTGAATTATCCAAATCGGACCATTACTTACGAAGATATTAAGTAATAAACATAGGCCGTTTTTGCCGCTAAAAGTCAACGTACGCAGGGCCGCGTGACGTCACTATATCCGAATCGAGCGCAGCTGGCATACTATTGGGATGGAAAATATTTTTTTCCAGCTAAACTATCAGTTTTAGAAAAAAACTTTTAATAACATTTATTCATCAAAATAAAGTAACCTATCGACCAGTAATTTTTAAAAATAAAAATTGTGAAAAATAAGTATCGCTATGTCCAAAAACCACATTTTTATAGGATTCGATGGAATGCGGAGACGCGGTTGGGGCGAGTGTAACTTTATGATTGTTTGTATTAAACATAATAATACAGCTTCTGGCCGAGGGGGAGTCATACCTAGCTTATGCNTCGTCACTACACTGCACAACTTAAAATAATTACGTTTTTTGTCGGTAAAAACGTCCTGGTGACGTCACTTAAGCATTTTTCTTATACTGCGTGCGGTCGTTGCGCGTGCGCACAAAGGAATGAGACCGCTCGGACACCGAGCCCACAGCGTGGTAGGGGTGGGGTTGCCCGCTCTTTTGTTTTTTAATACTACTACGCTGAATATTGTGTGCGGATTGGGTTGTCGTACAGGGGTACTACATGGTAAAATAAATCTCGGAGGCGAAAGCAGGATAATAGTAATTTGGCCATAACTTCGTCAATTTTTGTCGTAGAACAAAAATTTTTGGACTGTATATTAAGGATTTCTTAGACCTATAAATCTGCATTCACAGCTAAAAATCGAAATGATCCTCATTGAGATGTAAACAATACTTACCTGATTCACAAATATTTCCGTTAAACTATCTCACCTGTAAAATACCTATCACTCACTGTTTCTTATAGAAAACATGTCCCATTGTATTTAAAATGTATTACTTTTGTTCTTTTTATGCTAGTCACTAATGTGTTTAGTCTCGAGTTAATGTAGGAAAAAAAATATTTTTTACTTTCTTTTTAATAGATAAGATATGATTTTTTTCCAGAATTCTTCTGAAAAGTTTATTATTTACTATCTTTTTATCTGTTTTGAGAACGTATACCTACTTGAAAAAAAAATGTATAGGTTGTTTAATTATTTATTAAATGGGTAACTTGATTCTGATATAACATTAAATTAATTAATTTAAAACACTTTTCTGTTCCTTTAAAAATGTGTTTTAGTGCTAATAAGCAACTGACCAAATTTAGACTATAGGAAGAGCTATCAAATTATCCATGTATCATATTTGATTCATGTATCAAACAAGCTACATATTTTATCTAATTACCACACCTTTGTTAGTAAATTGAAAATCTAGTTAAAGAAATACATAAAAAACTACCTGTATCATAAAATTGTGTTGCTATGGGATAACTTTTATCTTTACAAGTACTATTACAAATAGCTTATTGATATGTAGTGAGTATAGGTGAGTCATTGTAACCAACTAGTTCAAGCATTGCTGGTATCTTGGCTTTGAAAATATACTTACATATTTAAAAGTGATATGATGAGTGCAGGGTATGTAATATTTTATTCCAATATGTTTTCTTATTTAAAATAATCCCTAAATTTTTCAACTTTAATGAAATTAATTGTGGCAATGTTTATGCATTAACTGACAATATGAAATATCCATTGTCCAGGGCCTGAATGGGCCTATGCCTACACTGTCATATGCCCAAGATCAAACAGGCTTTAACAAAAAATAGTTATTTTAAGTTACAGTAGCAGTGGTTGGTAGCAGCAGTACATAAGAAATATGGCAATACTGTTTTAAATTTACGAGCTATTGATGAAACTGACCTTTTAAAAAATATAGGCTGATTTTTTTTGGAAAAACAGGGTTTGCAGGCAGTTTTATATGTTTCTGTTAATGAGCACTTCAAGGTTTCCTCACCATGAGTTTTTTATTTATTACAGAGAATTCCTAATGGCTTACCAACCTGCGATTGCTTCCATCATCCTTCCCAACCTTGGTGGGTGGGCTAACGGCCTATACTTCGCCGGACAGATCCGCAAGGACCCCGGCCAGAAGTCCTGGTACGATGACCTGAAGAAGGCTCCATGGAACCCTCCCAAGTGGGTGTTTGGACCCGCCTGGACTGTTCTTTACAGCGGCATGGGTTACGCCTCCTACTTAGTTTATGAAGAGTGCGGTGGATTCGTAGGTAAGTCTAAAAAACTTTGTATAGTTTTTCAAATTCAATTTCAAATGGTTTATTCAGTACAAAGGCTCTTTCCAGGACACTTATTTAATGCAAGACAAGGCAGGTATTTGACCGCAATCGCACCTGGTGTTAAGTGAGATGCAATCTAGGATGGTAAATATCTGCCCTGTAAGTGCCTAATTCACTCTCGCCTTGAAAACGCCCGGATTATAGTGTTCAGGAAATACAGCAGCAGGCAGCGAATTCCAGTCCCTAGCTGTTCGCATTATAAACGAGTCGTCGAAACGCTTAATGCGAGCTGGTGGAATGTCGACAATGTAGGGATGGTACGCTAACGTGCGTATGGTTCCCCGGTGATGGAAGGGGGCTGGTGGAATATAGCTTGCCCTACCACCACTTTGGGACCACATTATGGGCTGGTGCTTAGAAGAAGTGGCGGAAGAAACTCAGTCACCTATGTCAGCCTCTTTTTCAATCCAATACAGTAATTTATAGCTTACTACTTTTGCACCTATAGCACAATATAGTCTTATCGGCAAGCTTTATTTCATTGGCAAAGTCTATATTATCCAAGGTTAGTGGCGGGTAGGTGTGTCCATATTATCCTTACCATACTACAAAACGATTGTAGGATATAATTAAATAAGTGTCATTTATATTCTTTAGTAATTTTCTTTTGGGTAGGCTAAATTCAGTTTAACGTCGGTTCAAAATGGCATTTAGTCGAGTTGACGAACCCTGACTACAGGGTCAGTGTCGTGTATAGATATGAGAAAATTACTTGTGAGCTATAGCTTAGTGAAAATTTGGCAATCTCTTGTAAATAAATAATCGTTAAAATTCCTTAATCAGACAGTAGGTAAATGAAATGATTTAGCTTTTTTGTTTTCCTGGAATGTAGTAGATTTTTTTTATCAATGTGACTTTATGAGTCTCATACACTCATATACCCTTCCCAATATTACTCACTTCAGCCGGGTTAGGAAGGATGCGTGCCGTGATAAAATCTTATCGCTGATAGACGACAAATGTATGGGCTTATCGCGCAGAATCGATAAAATGGCGTGATAAACGCTTATCGCGGCGCGCATCCTAGGCCTACAGGTGGGAACAGCCTTGACAACACAACAAGATAGCTTATGATTAAAATTACGCAGACGCTTACATAATTTTTGGACTCTTAACTTAGTTATTTAGATTACATTCGCTTATCTAAAGCGCAGACACATCAATATATCTTACGTTTTATCAATTGGTATCATGAAAGCCGAGTTTAGTGTTATACAAAACAAAATAAGACTCACTGAGTTTAGTATTTGAGTATGTTTTGCATTGATTCTCTCAAATGTTCAGTTGCATGACTGGAATGCGTGATAATTTAAATGTTTGAATACATCACTTAGGATAATAGTCTCATGCAACTATATTCCATGACCTTGTTTCAAGAAACTCTCATTTTAATATGTTTGTTTACGTCTATTTAAAGTCGGCAGCACTTCAAGCTTAACGTTGTGCCATCTTAACTAATTGTAATAGGGGACATTTTGTAACAAAAATGTATTGTCTGATGTGCCGTCGTCTTTACTACGTGCTTTGGCATTTTAAGCTAGAATCCTATGTAGTTCTAATAATGTTTTATCACAAAAATATACTTTAGTCAGACTGTATGTACTGCAAATCAAGTTGAAACTATTGACCTTCCTAATAATTGCCTGGTTTAGGCATAAGTAATTTGCAGACATCACGTTTGAGCTACTGCTTTACACGATTCATGTACGAATGATAATTTAACGGGACTATTCCCACCGCTGCAACTGCTGTGTAGTCAGGATCTATAGCTTGTCCTACAATAAAAACTCAACCAATGAAGGTCAAGTTTGTCCCAGAAGAATTTAAACTGTGTGAATAATACTAAAGTTCGCATATCGTTTTTTTCCAGACGATGCAGTTTTGCCTTTATCGTTGTACGGAGGCCAACTGCTGCTTAACTGGTCGTGGACGCCCATCTTCTTCGGAATGAAAGACTTCAAACTGGTAAGTTCTTAGTTTATCATTGTTTAGGTCCTTTAACTAATATCTTGATAAACTGGCTGCATATAAAGTGCCTAATTTAAACAAAAATATAGATATTCAGATTTATCAGTCTTCATCATTTCTAATCTTTCCAAAATTAAATGGCTGTTCTTATGTCATTCACCAAAAGATCTTCAGTCTAACATTTTAAGACACACCCAGACTATGGACTTTTTGCCGGCCGAAAGGTCGGGCTGTTAATCAGTAGGAACATGTATGGAAGTGCGCACATTACACCGATTTGGTATCGGCCGGTTCCTCATACTAATTGAAAGCCGATCCAACTATCGTCCAACTTAAAGACTGCGGGGTATCTAATGTCACTACCTAATTAAAGGATTCCCACTTTAGGCAGTTCGATTTTTTCAAGTTATTTAAAAAATATAAAGGATATTTGTTGAGAACAAACTAACGAATACTACCCGTTTTACTTTCCAGGCGTTCATAGAAATATCTGTGCTGTCCGGCGCGGCTTTGGCGACCACCATCGCCTTCTTCAACGTCAACAAAACCGCCGGCTGGCTGATGGTTCCGTACCTCGCGTGGTTGGGATACGCCTCATCCTTGAACTACTATATCTGGAAGAACAACCCTAGCGGTGCCACCATCAAGGAGATTAAGGATGAGAAGGCTAACTAAAGGTATGGGACCACTCCCATTTCTTGTTCCTACAGCTTGATCCAACAGAGATTCGAAAGATCTATCGGCTTCACAATGAGGGCTATCGTTTTTATACTTAACAGTTGGCACCCCTGGCGATTGACAGGACCTTACTCTACAGTGGCGCCATCTTGATGAGTGCAAATGCGATAGTCCTCCTACCACTTTAGCGCTCACCAGTTGGTGCCACTGTCTTCGCTACTAGCAAGTGACAGGACCTTACTCTACAGTGGCGCCAACTGGTGAGCGCTAAAACGATAGTCCTCATTGGTACTACATTGGTACACATTGCACAACAATAACGTGGAAACCTGGTCTACCGCTGCAACTCCTGTGTAGCCAGGATCTACAGCTTGACCGTTAATAAATACCTAACCAGCAAATGTCACTAAGTCACTAATGGCCGTGTGTATCATATGTGATACATGTTTATCACATGTGATTCATACGAAATACTAGTTGCTAATTTAAATTGATATTCAGGTCACGTCATCACTGACAATAACTGCCAGTTAGCACTAAGACGCTTGAATCTATGAACCATAGCTAATCAGGATTTCCCTTACTTAGTATTTTGTGCAATTTTTTTTTAATAATATTGGCAATTTGTAAAGACAAATTACTAATTATCTCGCTATCCCTTCGGTATCAGCTAACGGGATTATTAAATTACGTAATATTCTTTTAAAAAAAATGTTTTTTTTTTGTTGAATGTCGCAGCATTGTTAACTTTTATTGCCGCGACTGTTTTATAAAAAACTAGCTGACCCGGCGAACTTTGTTCCGCCTTAATGGCAATAAATAACGGGATAAAAAGTATCCTATGTCCTTCTCCTGGCTCTAAACTACCTCCCTGACAATTTTCAGCTAAATCGGTTCAGCCGTTCTTGAGTTATAAGTGGAGTAACTAACACGACTTTCTTTTATATACATATATAGATATTGTTTTGTTCCAGATGAATCCAGCACACGCCGTTTTAATGTCTAGTTCATTTAACTTAAGATTGTTTTATTAAGGCTTTTCACTACAAAGCAATATTCAACGAAAAATTTCATGTTCTGTAAAAATCAGTCAAACGCTTGTCTGTCTTTGTCACTCACGTTTACGTCTCAGCATGGGTGAGAGAGATGGATAGAGGCAATATTACAAAATGCTGATTTAATATTAAGTGAATAAAGGTCTATTAAAACCAGTCATTATTAAACGCTAAGTATAAATGTTAGTCGTTTATATGCAGACAGGTGGCGTTACCTCAAAGTTGGTGACACACTAGGGTCAAGAGAGAAGAAAGGAGACAAAGAAAGGGATGGGGAGAGCACACAATGTATCTGAAATATTTCTCGTGGTTATTGATTTTTTGCAACAATGCGCTTTATTTCTCCCTTAGAGAGACCACACATGACGCGACCAGTTTGAAACCGGTTTGAAATGGTCGCGTCATGTGTGGTCTCTCAACGGAATCTATGGCAGAAACTTAGATGCAACTCAAAAGTAACTGGAAGTTGCAGTTTCGTTGCAATTGCGTTTCACCGTGTGTTCTGGGCCTTAGTGTGTCTCAGGCTTAACTTAACCCTTAATTAAGTTAAAATAAGTCTGGTTTTCAACCGTATCTTCTCAGCATAAATTTCAAATTGATGCGAGCTCTATGGCCACCAGAGCCTGGTTAAGGGTTAAGAAAGAGGACAAATCGTTGACCTAAAACCAAAGCTAAATAAAAATAAAAAGTGTAAGGTTTTCTTGAAAAGTATAAGAATCAGCATAATTATTTACAATGTTATTATTGTTGTTTAGCTCAAAGCTAACGCACAGTGCAATTATTATTTAAGTTTTTTCATAAATAAATAATTTATTACAGTTAGTCTTGGCAGGCTCCGTTAATTATTTGTAATAAATATTATAAAGTTATATTATACGTTGTCCATCTTATCAGAGTTATTTTATAATCAAGATAAGTAGTTTTAAAAACATAAAATGTGTCTAAATTTTAGGATCTTGATGTAAATTAAATGTTTCATTTAAACTGGCACAATATGAATTGAAATTTACGATTGAAAGATTTTTTGGATTTTATTTAGGATGCCAGTTATTATGAAACTAAAAAAAATAAATTAGTGCTGCCTTAAACATCACAATTATCGATATCGATTTTTAAATCTTCTCCGAGAATTTTGTCGAACAAAACAATAATTATAAAAATGAACAGTAAATAATCTATTTGTCTTGATTAATCGTAGAATAGGGTAAGAAAAAGTGTCCTTTTCATGTAGATGTGCACAATAATACTTAAAATATTTATACCATTCCTATTGCATTTATGAACAATAATTTGTGAATGTAATGTTCTAAACTAAAGACTGGACTTTAGTATTGTCTTGATAAAGTGTTTTGCTTTTTCGAATAACTGTATTGTTTTCTGTTGATCAATTTAGAGTAAAATAAAATAATAATTACAGTTAGTCGTTTCATTTCTCATAATATCTAATATGCCTAAATATTTGATCCATTGCTGATAATGTGATTTATAAATCACAATATATTTTTTTAAACCATTTTTTTTTGTAAATCACTATCATGAATTTATGAAAATGGTAATGTTGCATATCAATTAGCTTATTAAGATTAATAATCTATTAAAGATTTTTCCTCAATATTAAAACGGAACAAATATTATTATGTACTAGCATTAATATTTACAGACACCAAACAGTTGATTTACGAACTGAATTTGTTAGCCTTTTCCCTTCTCAAATACTTAACGCTTCAAAACTTGCATCAAAAACGTAAATGACATTTCTGAAGCAAAAATGTTTTCCTACAAGTATTTATTTACTCGTCGCTCCACTAGCGAAACTTAATTTCATAACGCGACAAAGCAAGTGCTAGTCGAGCGAGAATAGTTTGTTTTTATGTACGTAATTTGCCACAACGGACGGTCTTGCTTACCTTTTTAGGTAGGGATGTGCACGGCTGTGTATAAANCTCGCCAGGGGGTTTACCATCTTACCGGTACAATAGCCTCTGTAGCGGGATAGTAGCGGTTGTGGGCCTACTGTTTTGGTTCCAATCTCGTTAATCCATAATGATTACCCTTAGGGGGACGTCACGGTGTACGAACTGCATTACTTTTTTTAAAGACAGAGCTTGAAATGATAGCCAAATGCCTCGTCATTTAATTAGTGACGCGCATGAATGGATTAACGAGATTCCCACTGTCCCTATCTACTTATCTACTTACTTTATCCTTGCGCTCGGAACGCCGGAGCGAACGGACGTGCGCGCGGAGCTCTCGCGGTCGCTTCGATTTTCTGCGTGCGGGTATTTGCGGCTCAGTGCGGTTAACCTCGTGTTCTTTCATATTCGTGCTTTTACTTTTTNGTAATGTTGCATATCAATTAGCTTATTAAGATTAATAATCTATTAAAGATTTTTCCTCAATATTAAAACGGAACAAATATTATTATGTACTAGCATTAATATTTACAGACACCAAACAGTTGATTTACGAACTGAATTTGTTAGCCTTTTCCCTTCTCAAATACTTAACGCTTCAAAACTTGCATCAAAAACGTAAATGACATTTCTGAAGCAAAAATGTTTTCCTACAAGTATTTATTTACTCGTCGCTCCACTAGCGAAACTTAATTTCATAACGCGACAAAGCAAGTGCTAGTCGAGCGAGAATAGTTTGTTTTTATGTACGTAATTTGCCACAACGGACGGTCTTGCTTACCTTTTTAGGTAGGGATGTGCACGGCTGTGTATAAAAATATCGATACCCATGATACGATAATGTATTTTTGACTATGCTAGGATTGTCGCTCTTCTGCAATCATTGAGTTATTGATTATATTTATTGGGGTATTTCGGAAATTTGATTGATATGCGTGGTTTGTTATGCGTCCGTCTAGCGCTACCTTTTACACTAGACCAGTTTTGGAATACCTTTTTTAAGCATTTATTTCACTTTCGTTTAATTAACAAAATAGAAAACCATTTTCATAAATTGCTTTATCGATATCAAAACTTATCGACATATCACCCACCCCTAGCAATAAGATCGCGCAGAGCAGTTCTCGCGGCCGACAGCGGATCGTTTTTATTGTCTCTAATCTCAAAAAGGACCGACGACTGAGGAAAACCTAGTCTGCAAAGCTAATTTGTTGATGGTAACTATGGTTCTTTTAAATCAGAGGTCGGAACTTGGCGGGAAAGCGAATCGTCATGTTTGGCATTATTTAAAACTAGCTGACCCGGCGAACTTCGTACCGCCTTAGCGTAGAGATTTTCTTAATATTTTTTTCCGTAAGAACCATCCTTGGACTTCCACAAACATTTAAAAAAAAGAATTGTCGAAATCGGTTCAGCCGTTCACACGTGATGCCGTGACAACGCGAAACGGGTTTCATTTTTATATATATATAGATATAGATTAGTACCTACATACATACTTAATACATTATTACGAGTATGTAGGCACAGACCTGGCTGACAGACAGGCACAGTCTGTGTATTTAGGTAAGTAAAATAGATTCTTCATCATTATCATTTCAGCCACAGGACGGGTACTGCTGAACATAGGCCTCGCTCAATAATTTCCAGAAGGCCGGTTAATAGCGGCCTGCATCCAGCGTCTTCCTGCAACCTACATGCGGTAGTACATTACTCCATCAGATCTACGTGCTATGTGCCCTGTCTAATCCGCCTTAAACAGAGCTTTAGAAGCTGGTTACAGGGTCACAGAGTAGACTTGTCACAGGGAACGTACGTCTCATGATAACGCGTACATTCACGTTTATGACGGATTTTCTTTTGAATGGCGCCAATAGGCATATTTCCATCGACAAAGACATACGTAATTAATCGATAAGAACAGTGTAATTCACTGTAATTCTACGTCAGTAAATGCTAAAATATGCTTAGTATGGCTGCAACACAGTGACATGTGCCGTGCGTGAGCAATGCGACGTCGCAGCTATGCGGGCATGCGAGACTCGCGAGCATACAGTTCGGTTTAAGTCTTGTAGCACACTACTAAAGCCCGGTCCGTGAGCACGTAGAATTTTGTCCAATGACCCCTAGCTACCCATCCTTATCGCTCGCGCGTAATTATATTGCTGTCGCGACTGTGCGACTGGCACCCGCAGTGAGTGTGCGAGCGCGACAGCAACATAATTACGCGCGAGCGATAAGGATGGGTAGCTTGGGGTCATTGGACAAAATTCAACGTGCTCACGGACCAGACTTTAACAAGCTTTTAAGGTATTTTTAATAGAGGTGGGGCCCTATTATTCCTCGACGATCGTGAAGGTCGCGGCGGGAAGTACCTGGATGCGGGCACTGCTAAACAAAGGATTTCCACAAAGACCGGTCCTGCACTGCCCGTATTCAGGTACTTCCTGCGACCTTCAACAGATCGTTGGTCCACCTAGTGTCTGCCCACACTACATCTTTCGGCTTNGCCATATATGTATACATTTAAGGACTGCCTATCTTTTTTCTTGTCTTTAACGTACTCCCAGAATTTTGCTGGGTTATCAGAAATACTTTTTTCAGTCAAATATAGGTGCTGCTTCTCTGCATTGTCAATCAAGTTTTTAACATGCCATCTATAATACCTAAATAATTCCTTGTTAAATTCCTTGCCTTCAGCCTTAAACCGTTTCAAGTGATAATATTTTTTACGTATATCTTCTATAATATAAAAATGAATCGCAAAATGTGTTGGTAAGCGCATTACTCAACAACGCCTGGACCAATTTTACCAATTCTTTTTTTAAAATGTTTGTTGAAGTCCAAGGATGGTTTTTACAGCGAGAAAAGTTTGAATAATTTCCGGGTAAACCCTAAAAAACTCGAAACTTCACCCCTAAGGGTAAAACGGGGTCCACGCGTACGAAGTCGCGGGCGGCCGCTAGTTGCTTATAATATCGGCAGTAAACCATTTTGGATACACGAATTTTTAATTTTTTTAAATAAATGAAACAGATTCGCCATTCCCTATGCTAGGAATATACATCGGCGACTGACTTCTAGTCGGTGTAATTGATAATTTGTTTTCGTGGAATGTAGTAGATTTTTTTTATCAATGTGACTTTATGAGTCTCATACACTCATATACCCTTCCCAATATTACTCACTTCAGCCGGGTTAGGAAGGACGCGTGCCGTGATAAAATCTTATCGCTGATAGACGACAAATGTATGGGCTTATCGCGCAGAATCGATAAAATGGCGTGATAAACGCTTATCGCGGCGCGCATCTGAAGCCTACAGGTC